TTGCTTCCGCCGTTTTCATATAGATGGCTTTAGCGGTAAGTGGTGGTCGAAATAAATAGATCATAGACGTCATATAATAAACTTGGGCATCTGTCAACATAATCCCATAGAAACATTAGTCGATTTGTATCTGCATCATAAAGTTATTCTCGATTGAAAATGTCAGTTTACGAGCCAAATTCTCGTCATTTGCGAGAGGTTTTAATTTTTTGCTTCAATATGAAGAAATCTGAGGCTCATCGAATGTTCTCAAATACTTATGGTGAGGCCGCTATTAGTGAAAGAACGTGTCGTGAGTGGTTTCAACGCTTCAAGAACGGTGATTTTGACGTCCAAGGCTCTGTATTTGGTGGGACCAGCTCGGCGTAATGTATTATGAACTATTAAACTATTAAAAGCGACTGAAACAATCACAGGCGATCGGTATAGAACGCAATTGATGCGTTTGAGCCGAGCATTGAAAGACAAACAGCCGCAATACAACGAGAGACACGATAAAGTGATTTTGCAGCATGACAATGCTCGACCCCATGTTGCGAAAGTGGTCAAGACATACTTGGAAACGTTGAAATGGGAAGTCCTACCCCACCCGCCGTATTCTCCAGATGTTGCTCCCTCTGACTATCACTTGTTTCGATCAATGGCATATGGCCTGGCTGACCAGCACTTCCGGTCTTATGAAGAAGTAAAAAATTGGATCGATTCGTGGATAGCAAAAGATGACCAGTTTTTTCGACGCGGGATTCGTACGCTACCCGAAAGATGGGAGAAAGTAGTAGCCAGCGATGGACAATACTTTGAATCATAAATGTGTAAAACCAGTTTTTTACAATAAAGCCTCGAATTTCAGAAAAAAAACGGCAGAAGTTGTACACCTAATAAACAGTATATTTTTTTCATTCAATCATAAATTTTAGTTACGAGCGAAAGACGTGGATCGAGTAAAAGAATATATATATCAAAAATCGGTTGAATGCAAGAGGTATTGTCCCTTGTCATCAGGTCCGCCAAGTCCATCACTATCGAGGGAAAAAGCCAGATATTGGGAATGTTCTGATGAAAAAGCTTGCTCAAAATCATGCTCAACGTGTTCATCAATACTATCAAAATATAAGCCATAAATATCGCATTTAGAATGACTAGTGCTGACGCATTTCATTCTGCTGAAAAAGTAAAAATATGTATTTTCTTTTATTCTCCATCTTTTGTCTCGACGCGTTATAAAAATCATATTGAAAAAGCAGCGTCATAAAAAAGAGACTTTATTGATTCATTTCTTTCTTTCTTTTTTCGATATCACGTTCGCTTCGACATCGTCCCGCGTTCTATCTTTCTTTAATATGCGAGCCCTTGTTACCTACACATTTTTGGAGAGAGTGGGCGATGGCAGCGGAAAAAAATAATCACTCGACCAAGGTCCTATGTTTACGTAAACATTGATAGTGCCGGGATCTTTCCAATGCCTTACCTCCTCCCTGCCTCCTTCCCTGCGTCTATGAATACTCTCGCGCCTTCCCTCTCCGCGCCCCGCGCCTTCAGCTCCATAGAATTTCCCTATTACCTCTACTCATCTAGGATCTTAAACGTAATGATAATTAACTAAGCAGAAACTTGTTAAGTGTAACGATTCCACCCAGATAGCACAGAATGTTAATGATGATTTTCATAAATGTTCCCTATAAGCGCAAAATATTCCTAAAACATTATATTATAAAAAAAGGACAGGGAGAGAAAAGAAAAGGAGGAATTTAAAATGAATTATTATGCATTTCGAAATTTAACGAAATTTAAGAAAATTCATGATCATATATGCTCATTTCTATTTATATTTGTTTATCACTAAGCCACTTTTTCACATTGTTTGACCGTTTATTTGTTTTATTATCTTGAGCTAACGTCATCGTGTCATAAAAATTCTGTCGTGGTTTACTAAGTAATGTATCATTATATCTTTATTTTTGTGCTACCGGAAATGACTTGTTAATAAAAGTTATCTTTTTCGTTTCCTCTCTCGTGTTAGTTCGTATCGAGTGGACTCCTTTTTTCTATTATTTGATTGCAAATCAGCTACATTTGTAATATTTTCCGAAGGCGCTCGCCTGTTTCACCATTTGGCCAGGCAGCATTTTCTCATTATAAATTCCTGCTCCCGATAGGACACCGAATATGCATGTTGCTAAAAACAATTTGCCGAATCTGATAATCTAAATTTCAAAGCAAAAATTTTCATATTTACTCATGTATTAACTTTCTTCATTGTAAGATTAAACACTGAATGTACATGTGACTAATACATATGACTAATGCTGTTGATATCACGATATTGTTCAATGCATGTGTAATAATAATAAATTACCCACAACATAATTGACATGTTCCTTGTAATTTGTGACTCCTATATTCCGAAATTTTAATTTTAAGCGGAAGATAAGTTAACTCTGCGACATCAATATAAAGAATATCTTATGTAACTGGCAGCGTTCTTTCATTAAAAATAGCCGCCTGAACATAATATGTTTTATGTAGTGTAATGCTTTTAAAAAAATTTTGAAAAAATTTCTGTGAGTCAAGCGCATTATAACAAACATTTTACAACTCTTTTTCTATAACAATGTCCTGACTTTAAAATTAAAAAGCATTTTAGAAAAAGTTAAGTTTCTATACAATGAAATTTTACATAATAAGAAACTTCGATATCTTTGCAAGAAATCATTGCATTAAATTTTTTTAAGCTAAGAAGTTAAGATTATTTCCAAATATTTTTATATTTAATTTTATCTAATAATGATTGATCAAACTGCAGCTCTGAAAGTAAGACAAAAATGCGCGCGAAATATCATCAATTCCATATGTCATAGAAAAGAATCAAATGCAGATTTAAAGACTTATTTTTATATTTTATTATAAAATGGATGGTCAAAAGCTTCTCTACGATTTTTTCATTTTAAGATATTTAATTTGGCGAATTGCGACAATAGTGTTAATGACGAAGTATTTTTTAGCGCGATTGTATATTCGCTGTATATTTCTTATAAATATTTACATTTACTGTATAATATTCATTCATTATTATTTTTTTATACTAAAAATATTGTTTATTTAATAAATTATAATATAGCTCTACTGTGCATGATTATGAAGCCAAGATGAATAACATTACAAATTATATTTTTATAATAAATTTTTAAAGATATACATAATTAGATTCTAGCAAAAGACTTTGTAAAGGAACAGATCAACAAAATATTTTTTTAAGTAAAAAACAAAGAATTTGGTGTTTAATGCAAAGAATTTGATGTTCATCTTGTCTACATAAATTTTAATTTTTATAATTATCAATAATAAGCATTCAATATTAGTAGCAAGCTTTTTTAGTAATATAATTAAAATTTACAATCGCACAAATTTCTAATATTTTTAAATGAAAATTTCACAATTTTTGGTATATCTCTATTCCCAGAATAAATTAAGAAAAAATAAAAACATTTTTATGATATAATAGATTCAACTAATAGTTGGATTAACTATAAATATGATTTAATCAAGTATTTTATCAAAAAAATATTCTTAATATTCTGTTTTGTATAAACATAGTTTGTCTGGCTGTTATGAATGAACTTAATGTCAATGAGACATAACTTTGTCTCTTAATCAAAACAGTAGTTAATTGATATAAATAAAAATAATTAAAGTTTGATTAATAACAGAAAGGAGGATGTTTAAAAATGGCTGATTTTTACCCAAAATTTAAATAAAAAGATAATGTTTTTTGTATATTTTAACTTTTTGATTATAGTAAAGATTATTAAAAAGATTATTAAAAAAAATTTGTATCATTTGGAGAACACTTCGAAAATTGAGTTATGTGAATTCACCATGAACATAAATGGACAGCATGCGAGTCCACCATAGTAGGAGATTCGATCATCGACAGATCAAGAAATTTGCACTCGTTGCTCCTCTTCCGGCAAACTGAGGGTGTTTATTACCGAGAAAGTCTTTCGGAACTAGCACTAAATTTTAGTTCCCATATATGTTTGTATAACTTGCGTGCATATCACCACATATACAAGAAGATCCCGACTTTGGGATTTTGCGCATCGAATAAATTCATTATGTTCAATTTTCAATGTATTCGCTATTTAATAATTTTATCCTATCTAAGTAGTTAAAATTTACAAAAAGCACAATTTCTTTTATTTACATCTTTTTGGGAAAAAATTGGACTTTATATATATAAAACATCTTTTTTATAATATATAAAATTATTACACATTAAATGAATTACACAGACCGATATAAATTTTGATCCAAAAACAGCAGTATATAATCCCTAAGATTTTTGTCATGCTCAATCCATTTAATTAAGACGTTTATAAACGATATGTATGCCAACTTGGCACACACATTCGCTAAATATTGATTACATTCATTATAAACTTTATATATGTCATGTATTATACATATTTGTATAATATTTGCTATGTTGTCATACATTGGCCATATCGTTTGGAAGCACCTTAAAGTCAGTGAATATATCTATGTTTTTCGCAATATATCTATGTTTTTTTCATTTTATTGCGTTGGTCCATTTATAATTATATTATTTTCATAGATTTTTTAATGCTAAAAAAATTCGTAGCCCATTTCTCCATCACATTTACGAGAAATTTTAATCTAAAAATGTCCGAAATAGATCTTTTTGGCATTTTCAGATTAAGATATCTCGGAAATCTAACGTGATGGAGTAATTTGGGCTACGAATTTGGTTTTAGCATGCTAAAAACTTTAATTGCTGGATTACGTACTGTCGTTTCTGGAAGAAAAAAAAAAATTTTTTTGCCTATATTATCTATATTAGAAATGTAAAGATTTATTTTATAAGAAATATAATTTTTTGCAATATAAAAAATAGTAAGTTTTTAGAAATAATATTCTTCTAAAAGAAGACATTTCTAAAAGGAGACATAGATATTTTATACATACTATCCTTTTTTTAGTGAAATAAGACCAACAAAAATAACGCAAGCGTATTTATTGGCGGCGTCTTATTGTTCGACGATTGGCGGTACAGGAACATTAGTGGGAACTGGCACAAATCTTACTTTCAAAGGAATCTATGAAAGTACGTTTCCAGAGGCTGAAGGAATTAGTTTTACAAGTTGGATGATAGCGTCTTTTCCTCAAATGGTCGTAAATTCTTTCCTCACCTGGATATATTTACGAATCGCTTATATGGGATATTTAAGACCACATAGTAAGGATGCTCGAATAGCGTCAATTGGAAGAGAAGGTGTAGCTGTCACAAATCAAGTAAGAACATAAGTAATGAAAAAAAATAGAAATAGTGTTCCTTAAATTCTAATATACATATATAATTCTCTCTCTAATATATATTATACATATTATATAAATAGTACTCTTGAAAATTATGTAAATAGAATAGGGACTTTTCCGAATTTCAACATTTTTCAACTGCAATGTTTGTTATGACTTAGATAGTAACAATAAACTAGAGGAGGAAAGATATATAATTTTTCCCTCCCCCTCCTCATGTGTACACTTTACAACGCAATGAGAGGGGGCCATCTAATACTAAAATGGGTTGGATTGTAACCGGACTTTTAATTAAAATTTTACCATAATGTTCAACTTGATAAATGGTCGCCATCTCGTTTCTCTATTATTACAATAATGGTAGGTTGCCTTGGAAATCGCCTGATAAATCAGTACCCTCCTGCTTTGAAATTCTTGGTGCTATTCTCTTCAATCGGATTCTTGACCAGACGACACATTTTGTGGAGTGAACACAGGCACTTCATTGAATTTTATTTAATCGCTTAGCAAATTTCGTTTAATTACCCTTGTATTTATTATGGGAATTGAATATGGGATTTGTATCAGAAGAACTTTCAGAAAAATATACTTAATCTCTGCTTATTCAAACTCAACATTCACATAAAACTGTCACTAGACTGTAACGAAAGAATAATGAAAACTAAGTAGGTACTAGGCCGATTCTAACTCATGGGGCTAGAGAGTAGTGCGGGGCGCGGGGGATACTCATCGGCGAAAGGTAGCGGAGCGTGGGGGATACTCATAAGCAAGGGAAAGCGGAGCGTGGGGGATACTCGGCGAAGGAAAACGGAGCGTGGAAGTACTCGTAGGTGAGGGTAAGCGGAGCACGGGGGATACTTGTAAGTGCAGGAGAGAGGGCAGTGCGGGGAAAGTCCCCGATCACCAGCATTGCTGTAAACAGTGATAACTAGAACTCTATGTTTATGTATCGACTCGGGTCGATGAATTACATAAACATTACGCGTGATGACGTTTCGCTATGCGTTCCGTATTTGTTTCGTCACTCGCCGCCCACCGCCGCCCTCCCCAAAAATGCATGGGTAACAAAAGCTTGCATGTTAGAAAAAGATAGAGCGCGATAATAGAGTATGACATTCTTTTTTTATGACTTAGTTTTTACAATACGTTATGTTTTTTTCCTTTTTCTTTTTTACCAGCGCGTCAGGAAAAAGAATGAATAGTAAAATAAAATACATTTATATAGTGATGCGAATTTTTTTTATTCACATCTTATTAGGTGTACAACTTTGCTTCCGTCGTTTTTTTTTCCGAAATTCGAGGCTTTATTGTATTATTATAAAAAACTAGTTATACATTTATGATTCAAAGTATTGTCCATCGCTGGCCACTACTTTCTCCCATCTTTCGGGTAGCATACGAATCCCGCGTCGAAAAAACTGGTCATCTTTTGAGGCTATCCACGAATCGATCCAATTTTTTACTTCTTCATAAGACCGGAAGTGCTGGTCAGCCAGGCCGTGTGCCATTGATCGAAACAAGTGATAGTCAGAGGGAGCAACGTCTGGAGAAT